TTAAAATTAATATGACTCATTGAAAAAAGATAAAATATAAAGTGAATTAACAAACTGAAACAGTAAGTGGATTCATTATCTATGCTAATGAGTTCTGTTTTGCGTAATTTACTACACAGCTGCATTTTAGCTTTCATAAAAATTAATCAATTTCACGATTTTTTTTCATTGAAGGACTTATGTGTTATGAAATATCAGTATATATGTAGCTAATAACTGACTTAATATTGGAATAAATTTGTATTTTGTCAGAAGCAGTTTTCATTTCACTTAATTGTTTTTAATAAGTCTGAACAGATTGTTGGTATTTCGGCCGTCAAAATCGTATGGTTTGTGATTTTGTAAATTAACAAATAATATAGCAGAAATATACAATAAATATCTACATAACAGAAATGTGGGGCAAAGACAGTAATGTTTTGGAAATCCTGGCCGGTCCGCGAGGACTGAATTGGGAAACACTGGTCTAGATCTTTCGCCTATGCAGGATTCCATTCTGTACTGTAGCTGTCCCTTGTCATGAGAAGTGATTCTTCACTCATACTTCAAACTCCACATCATCACAATAAACAACCTTATCGCCTAACCCTGAACCCAGACGACCATCAGCATTCATGATGAGAATGGAGGGGGAAGAATGACGTGTCTAGAGTTGGGCATCTCTCATGGGACTCATTTGTCCAGCATTGCCCCAGGACAGGAGTAATTGGTTGTTTGTTTTTCTGACTGCAGTTACAAAGGGCCATAATGAAACTGCACACATGGCCAGAAACCAAAGTTGACTTCCCATGAATACTGCTATGCTAATACGGACTCTATTGCCATTCACATTTGCTAATTTACATTGGAAATTCAACATTTATTTCATTCAACTGTCCATTCTCAGTAGCCACGTCGAATTAGGTTTGCAGTGAATTGGTGCAATTGCCGCACACAAGGCATGAGGCAGGGCACACCCTGATCAGTGTGCCATCCCAGCACTGGGCAATTATGCGCAAACTCACACGCCCTCACATGGGTGCGTTGAGATTCACCAATTCACCTGCTCATTAGACTGTATGATGAAAATGGAATGCTGAGAGAACATGCACAAAAACTGAAAAATCATGTCACACGATCTCTGTACACACAGAGAGCTGGGGCCTCATTATAACTCTACATTAAGTGATACGGCATGCATTAATATTGCACAGCAAAGAAGACTGCGGGCTTGGGCTTTGTTAGGAGGGATTTTTGTTCCAGGTGTGACCCAGTAGGCGGACAGGGAAGCTCCAAACATTGGACCCAAGAAGTACCCAAGAGAATCCAATGCCATTCAGCGTGAAGCACAGTGGAGCAGTAAAGTATTCAGCTTCACAGGGGTACAGCTAGAGTTGTAGGGACAGGTTATGGGCAGATTATTGCAGTCTGTCGTACGGTCAACTTCACATGACTCAACTGATTGGTGGAAGGGATGGTGTAAACACCCCTGCCTTCAAAAACACACAACTTATTTAACAGATTAATGCAGAGTGATGTGCCAGCCCCCACCCTAGGGGACCAGTCCCGAGAGAGCGAAGGGTGTGCGTTGTGCACATGGGCAAGATGGATGGGGGAGGGCATAGATGTGTAAGGCTGATAGGAGAGCAGCGAGGGAGAAGAGGAATGGCATGAGATCAGTGACAAATGTGATGACAGATGAGACCTGTTTGGACTTTAAAAGGTGCCTCCATAAATAAGATGCCAATCTGTCATTACAGTATTACGCTTAAACACTGGCCCAGGTAGTCCCTTGAGCCTAGACCAATCAGAAAAGAAAAATCTGACCAACTGCCAGTGCTACAGTATAAGACTTGAATCTTAAATTCCACAAGGACAAGAAACCGCTTCCTTTTTTTTTTTCCATTATTTTCATTGCTTAGGAATAAAATGGCTGTTTTGTTAATTTCAAGTTTATTTTTTTGTCCCCTGAAACACTTTCAAAATGTTTGTTATAACTGATATGTTAATAATCTACATTTTGTTGATTAGGTCAGGGCAACTGGCTCGCTGTGTCTCTGAGATCATCCTCACTCTGAATGATTTCCAGTGAATCTGGGAGATGATATTTAGATGCACTAAACCCAAACCCAGTTTTGGTTTCTCGCCAGATCTGATTACCCCCTTGAGGGCATCTGGAAACTCTGGCACTTATTGTATTTTAGGAATCTTTTTGACTGCAGGCTGAAAGCAGGACTTTTTGTATTTTAGGAATCTGTGTGACTCCAGGCAGGAGGCTTGTTTTTTAACCCATTTCCATGCAATGCTTGGAGGACCTCTGGAAGGCTGTCTCCCAGGTGCAGGGTTTATTTCCGTACTATAAAATACTGAGGCATTGCCATTTTCGACGTTATCGAAATCAGCAATTTGCACACCTTTCATACAAATCCGTCCCACCAAGAATTCTTATCGCAGGAACCACAGTGGCCGTCTCATGCGCTACATATTACAACGGCTTTAAAATTAATTTGCCCAGTGAACTGCCTCAGCATATAAGTAGCACAAAAAAGCAAACTATCGCACCTCTGAGGAAATGAGAAGACAGTAATATATTAATAATAATGATGATAATACTAATTGTGGAAAAAGCCGTCCATTTGCACACTAATTTGTCCGCTGTGACCAACATATATTCAATATTTTGAAAGTGTAGCTGTGGCTTTAATAAATAGCAGGCTGAGACTTCTATAGGCCTAACAGGAACTATAAATATTCAAGGAATCTGAAAATTAAATCCATAATTTCATGGATAATTGAATACTAAAAGGATGAGAGGATACATAAGGGTCATTAGAAACCTTAGGAGTAACTGGCTTCAGAAAGGGCTATGAAAACTAAACACAAAAGCAAAAAGTAATGGAGGCCTTTCAATATGAATCTGAAATATACACCAAGTCCTAAAAATGGCAAGTACAAATTGTATCCTAGCCATGATGATCTCTAAAACAAACTGAAAATTATTCTGGAAATCAAAATTCTAATATTAATATTACCTTATTAAGTGAGATTAAAGTAGGGATGCACTTTTTCACACAATTAATGAAGGCTACCAAAGGTTGCTAGAGAATGACAACAATAATGAAGTAAATCTGTGTGTAAGGTGTGGTAAGGTCATCTACTGTTAGCTGTGGGGAGGACTAGCGGAAGGTCAGATATTCCTTCATATTAAAGCACAGAACCTTTTTCGCCATGTAAAAAAGATTCAGAACAGTCTTGGAATAAATGAAATACCTTGATTGTATTTATTGCTACATATTTTCTTTCATCATTGTCAAGTAACACAGACTTATTCTTCAGATGCTCTGTATTTCACACATGGACATATTTTCATGTCAGATATAAATCCAAGAACAATCTTAAATAAAATCTTTGATTAAGAGCTGGATCTAGATGAAGCCAAATCAATTTCTCTATTACCTTCAACTGCTGGGCTCAGTCAAAGAGCCAGAGGAGAGATAGGGGCAGGAAGTGGAACTCGAGAAGACAAACTGGAGATAAATCGTTCTTGGTCTCATTGATGCGACAGTGTAGAGAGGCCAGTGATAAATGATGGGGGGGGGGGTTTGTGGTTCCCGGGGGACACGCGACTCCACACACAGACCTACCCACTACGCTCGGTAAGACCCACAATTAAAGCCCACCCCATGACCGATTCCCAAGGGGCTGGCATGATGGGAGCGGTGTTTTATTGTTGGATCCACAAAATTAGCTGCTCATGGCTGCCAAGCCAAGAATCAAGCGTGGGCATTATGTCATCCATGCACCTCTGGTAGGATTGTTGGATGGGTGGAGGATGTTGCTTTGTCATCCTCTCAGCTTGCATTCGGCAGGTAATTAATTTAAAATGCCTCGAACAGACGACGTGGAAATTACTGACAGACGCTGATTGTCCAGTCCTTAGCTAATCAGCCAGTGGAACACTGGGAGCGCAAAAGTGATGATACAGTGGTTGTCTTACCTTCGTATTCTGCAAGTCACAGCTCTTAAGCTGCTGGGGAAACTGGTCCCTGCCCGCAGGAGACCTTATTTATAGACATCTGTGAAAGTGGCTCTCAAACAAAGCGGCTAACGAGAGTATAATATACGCTGCCCCAGAGGCTGGAAGACTAGGACTGAAGGGAAGATGAGGAAGGGAAAGGAGCGAGTTGGTGAGATGTGGAGATGGAGAGAGCCAGAGGAGAGGAACACAAAGAAATGCCAGGCAACTGCCCTCAGAGAGCTGGCTGGTAAGAGAAAAGATGGTTAAAAAGCACAAAAACAAAGAGAAGGTGCACAGAGATCGATAAGAAAGCAGCAGGACAAAGGAGTAAATGAAAAGTGTCTGTGGGAAGGATGAAAAGCAACAGGCTGATGTGGCTGTGAAAGAATCCAATTAATAGCAAACATCTCTACCATTCTTAAAGCAGCCATATGGTACACAATGGCCATTCAGCCAGTGAAGGGACTCTACAGTGAGACTGTGGACCACAATCCCACTCAAATGATTAAGGAGCTCATTAACTATTAACAACTGATGGTCAAGCTGTCTAATCCCATTAGCCCTTGCTCAAGGTGTTCTTTTTTCATCACAGTTTGCCCAGGAGGGAAAAAATCAACCGTACTGGAGCCAACCACCCTCCACCCTGCATTGTCCTCACAGCCATGTTTATCTGATAGGTATTTCCCTTTTTGCCCACCATAACCCTAATACACCCTCCTTAATGGCTTTCAGCATTAACCACAGCAGCCGTCAACAAGGTGCACAAGCTCCAGTGTGCCACAATACATCATCTCCTTTTCCATAATAACTATGACTGTCTTTTTCTGTATCACTTGTTTCAGCTCCTAACTCACTAAATCCTTCCTCTTTGCACACACCAATGTCCAGTATTTTCTCACCCTTTTCAGATCCACCACATTCTCTCCTTCCCTCTCGCTTCATCTCTCCCTCCTCCACTTCTGCCTCCCACCGCACTCTCACTCTCACACTCTTAGATTGGTACCTCTTGTCAGGGGGGGTTTCGTGGCTGGCCGGTGCCTCCTGCAGGTCGGGGATGTTGGCAAAGTCATCCTGCTCAGCCAGCCCGATCGCCAGCGACAGAACCACCATCTTCCCTTCGCTGTCCCATAAAGAACAAGACCAGGAAAGAGAAGCACAGAGAAGGGGCAGAGTAAGAGAGGTAAGGAGGGAGTCACAGGAGAGGATGAAAGGGAAGAGACGAGAGCGGGGAGAGGGGGGATGGGGGGGGTCAAGGGAGGTCAAGTCACCACGAGGAGTGTAAAGGTGAATAAGGCAAAGAGGAGAGGAAAAGGAAAGTGGTAGAAGAAAATATCACACTAAACGAGGGGGTGGGGGGGTAGGAAATTGTGAGCACCAAGGGCAAAAGTCAGCAGGAACACTAGCGAGCAATGCTTCAACAAGGGAGAAATGCCCGACCCACAACAAGATGCTAAGGAGGCCTGGTTAAGGCCTCCAACTACCACGTACACATATCTATCTTTGTTTTATTCAATACATAAATAAATGTATATACATATTACCTATATTTTATAAAGAGGGAGGGAAACAGAATGAGAAACTGAAAATGAGCACATAATTTGTTTTTTTTTTATAAGACAGGAGTCAAAGGGAAACATGAAATTTTTCATGCAAAAAGAGTGAACACAAAGATTCAAACATATGAATTTGCATACAAGTGACACACATACTGCTCATGCCCACATATAAATGTCCTCTTTCACACGCATAGCGTCATGTATGCAATAACAGCCACGCATGCTTCATATCCAGATTGCCACACAGATTTCATATAGGATTCGAATCTTCAGCCCTGCAGGGGCGAGGCGGACGTGCGACCCACTGATCCACTGTGACGCCCATTTCTAAGCGCACAGATTTGTTTTTCATTAGGTGTATCTTCTTAAAAAAAAAGCTGACTTTAAAAGGGGCATAAAACTCATAAGAATATCTTCCCAAAGTCTGTTTTTCCAGAGTTAACTGTCCTTGTGGGGACAGAGCCACACAAACTCAGAGTGTCTCAATGGTCAGGTCCATAGACTCTGTCAAGCACATACTCATGCGATCATGTCTCATCTTGTCCATACAAACACCCTTATGCTACATTTATTGCTCTCTTCTTTTCTCCCCTATACTCACCTTTCCTTTTTCTCCCCTCCTTCCTCTCGTGTTTAGATTTAATTAAGCCTCGTTAGGCATATCTGGACTAATTGTTTCTATTTAAGTGTCACAGTGTCCTGGGGAGCTTGCTGTGTCACTGTTTTCTGGGTCACAGCTTTCTATCTCTGCTCATCATCTCTAATGCAATGCCTTACAGATCAGACAGTCCTCATCCATTCATCCTCTCAAATATCATCCCCACTTCCACACTTTATAGATCATAGAGTCCATATCCAATCCTCCTCTCAAGTATAATCTCCACTTCCACAGTTTATAACTTGACAGTCCTCATCCATTCATCTTCTTAAGAATCATGTCTATTTCGAAACTCCGCAGATCCAACTGCCCCCAAATATTCTTCCTCTTTTTTTTCACAAGTTTGTTCTTCAGTACATTCTGCCCTGTCCTGGTTACTGCCTGATTCCACTTTCAGATGCCCTCACACTTTGTCACTCTGCCAAAACACAACCCATGGATCTTCTCAGTTGCCTATTCAGTTGTCCATGGATTTTCAGTCTTCCCTCTCTCTTTTTTTTTTTTATGTCCACCAGTTTCATTTGTTCAGCTCAGTGGAGCCAGTAATCTACTGGTTATCAGCCCCGCCCCTTCTGTCCACATTAATTTGCGCCCAATGGGTACTATTGGCAGAGCTGTGTTTCATCGCAGTAAGAACATGACTGTATTTAAACGCATATGGCACCTGCAGAGACATTACAAACACCATGACATAACATCGATCTGGAAGAGCAAGAAGCGCCACAGCACAAAATGGCTCGCTCCATCTTTCTGTGTAGCCTGGATCGCCTTTGAGATTTATTGAGCAATGATTCACTCTGGAGAAGTAGCAGGTCAAAATTCCAGTTAATTGACCTGAGACAACATCTGTCTACAGCCAGACTCCCAAACAACAGACGTTCAAGTGCATTTGGAAGTACGAATGTCTGGATTTCTTGCATAGCATCATAATTGCTTTTTCTAAAAGACACAAAATCTTTGAGTGATTAAGAAATGGATACCCAAATTACCACTGAGCCACACTACTGCAGTGCGCCCCTGTGCCTCATGCAAAGCTCTCTTCTCATTTTCCATTACCTACACACAAAGTGATGTCCCATTCTCAGTGGGTGCCACTGTTGGATTGCCCCACCTGGTGATTATACTGCAATTGACTGCCTACACAATCTTCCCTCCAAAATTCTGTATGTGTAGCTGACATGTGCTTCTTGGATTTGAAAGGATAGCTGCTGCCCTGGGCGTCCCTGGCATCGCACCTTTATTAATTGTCAACACAGGGAAAATTCAAATTGTTCTTTCTCAAATTATGTTTCATTAGTCAGTCAACTGAATGTCAATTAGATTATAAAATGTATTTTTGCCATATGTTGTTGCTACCCAGAATGTTATAAATTCCTGCCATAAGTAACAATTTCATTCCATTTGAAACTACATAATAGCTTCGAAATGTGTTCTTGGGCAAAACATTGTGTTCTCCAGGCTTAGGCAGCAGGCCACCTTTTCTGACATAATAAAAACAGATTGGGTAAATTATTAAACACGGGGATAGAGTATAGGCAAAAGCAGCGTGAAGTCAGAATTATGAGACTTCTTTTCAAAAGCCATGAAAGGTAGTTTAGCTAAGGGCTTAGTTTAAAAATAGTACTACCTGGAATATATGACATATATTACAATTAGTCAGTAAAAGGATTATACACCAAATTAAACACAAATAATATGCTGGTTAGAAAGCAAGGGTAGTACAGACAATAGGATTACTCTGTTTTTAGCAAAATTATATACTGTTACTTCAATGAGCAAATGGAAGAAATTAACTGACCTGCAGCTTCAAATGATAAGGGCAAAATACTTAAAGAATAATTAAAAAGGGAGTAGTGAAGTTGAATATTTGCCTTTAATTACTGTAGCTTGCGGTGTATGGCTGTGTAATTCTTTTGTATCCAATTATTCACATCCATTAAAGGTAGAGAAGGAAACGCGGAACACGGCTGTGAAAGGTATTACGAAGCTGCTGGGTGTCTAGCACTGTCATAAATTTGACATTAAAAATGTTCAGTTTTAACTCGTATTGCTTTATATGTTGCAAATGAATGTCTGCCAATAAGGAATCCTTTTCAGTGCAATCTTAGTGCTGTGTTCTCACTTTCCCTGTGTTTCTACCCTTTGTCCATCCTCTCCCTCTGTCTCTCTTTCCTGTTCTCCTGGCCCACGGTGACAATTAATCGTCCGAGCAATGATGCTACAGACAGAGGATCAATGCTGTACACAGACCAGGGTTAATGGGGATTTACTCGCAGTGCCTTGTCTCCAGTTACTAGAGGCACTGACAGTCACACAAATACACTGATACTGACATAGACACACTGATACTCACAAAGACCCATTGATATACAAATACACTGATATTCACAGACCCACTCATACTCACACAAATACACTAACGTAGACGCATTGATACTGAGAAATGTGGCAATAGGCGAATTTGTGTACTTACGTGAGTTATGCGTTGTGCTACGACATTACAACGGCTACGACATCAATTGGCAATAGAAATTTTTTAGCTCCATTACAATCATAATGTTACATGATTACCATCATATATGCGGCCGGTCGTTGACCGAAACATCATTTTGCACCACCTGGCTGTACCTTTCCTGTATATACGTGCTAATCAGTTACAATTAGCCTTTGCAGAAAGAGCCTTTTCTATCAACATGCCTCAACATGCAAGTGTGGAAATGGACATATGCAAAGAGCAACCAGAAGGAAAGGAAAGGGCTTTTTAGGGATTAGTAACACAGACCCCTGTGCATTATTAATTTCCAGCCATGTATACTGTAGTAATGTCACTAGAACCACCTCGCACAGTCCGAGACGTGCCGATTGAATAAACAGGCTCGGTAATTAAAGGTAATGAAGGGGCTCTCATGGACTGTAATCCGGAACCCAGCCTGCTCGGCCCCCCGATCTCCTGAGGTGTTCCTGCTGGTACAACAGATGTTAACAGCCTGGGGATCACATTTGTACAGTCACACCAGGCACAACCTCCACACGATGACCTTGCTGTGCGAAAATTCCCCAGATAATCAAACTCCTGCACTCTCTAGGGGATCCCAGAAATCCTCCAAACTGGACACATCCTAGATTCAGCTAGAGGCGTCAGAGGGGGCATGAACACCCTGGCTTATTCTGGGCGCCTGGCACTTGAATAAGTAAAATAATACATAAAATATGGACATGGGGGCTCAAGGTGACATCTAGTTAGGGGGGCCAGAATTTCTAGGCACGCCCCTGGATACAGCCACTCTTAATTAGTGCGGCATTGGCAGCCGAAGTAGGCAAGGAGATTTACATTATCCAGGTAATGATTTTGAAAAAGGAGAGGAAGCCTAAGGTTAATAAAGCAAAAAATGGCATGAATCAAGAACCACTGTTGGACATCTAGTATCTTCCTCTACACCAGTGTTTCTCAATTTGGTCCTTGAGGCTGGTTCATGTTTTTCCTTCCTCTGAGCTTCATGCTAGACAGTCCACATTTTTGCTCCCAGTATAAAAACGTGGACTGTCTGTGAGTCCCCGAGGACTGGATTAGGAAACACTGCTCTGAACACCTCAGCTAGTGGGATGACGTCAGATATATATCAACAGTTGGGGTGTCATTTTTCCTAAGGGGACACAGCAGGATGTGGCAGCAAAGTTTTTCCTAAATGCATGTTTTTGCCTTTGTGAATGACCTTCTTATACTCAATAAGTATTTCACTGTATCTTTTTCCACTTCACAACTACGAATATTGAGTAACCCATCACAAAATCTGGAAATTACACTTGTAATTGCTGTCATTAATAAAAATGACACAAATATAATGCATAATGGCTTTAGAATGCATTAGATTCCACAGCGGCAGAACACTGGCAGTACCTTTTGCC